GGCTTCAGTGGGAGCAGACTGGGACGGCCAGAAAAACTTTGAAATCAGACCGGCCTAGGCATTCTGCCCCTGCCTAACCTCTGGCTCTGCCCCTCCCTAGCCCTGATGTTTGAGCAAGTGCCTTCTCACCTTCTCAAGAACCTTCATCTCCTCACCTGCATAAAGTGAGAAGCAGGGTCTGAAACACAGGAGCTCATGCCAGGTACCTGGTGTGGGGCAGAGGCTGGGGAAGCGGCCTCTCCTCCCGCCCACCTAAGTGCCGAGATGCGAGTGGTGTGGAATGCCCCAGTGTTGTTTTGTTTCCTTGTCTCCTATCGGCTGCCAGGCTATTCAAACTAGCAGAGGTTTATCAGGGTCGGCCATGGGTGAGACCCCAGGATCACGATGTTGTGGAGAGTGTAGAGGGGAATCAGGTGGGCCATCCCCTCTGATTCTAGATAACTGGACTAAAATTCTGTGAGGTTTGTCCTGTGGTCAAGATGGAATGCATCTGCATAAGAATTCAGTCCATTCTTGTTGAGTACTGACATCTACTGAAACGTTTAATCAAATTAGGAGAATGGCACAGAACAGCTGAGAGAAACATCAAAGTGGACTCTAACCTGTATATCAAGATAGTGAGTTCATCTTAAGTTGTTGCGATCAGTCATAGTTCAGGTTTCCTGGTCGGTGAAGTAGTGCTGAGGATGGATATTTGGAGTGACTCTGGCCTGTGTCTGCTGATTCAATTTTGGCTCACATCACTTCAAGAAAGAAAACAGTAAGTTCCACAAAGGGACATTCGTAAGCTCATGGCAACACATGTTTTCCATATTGAAGCCAGAATAACTAAGTTTAGAATACGTGTTCTGCATTGTGTTGGCTTGAGTGGTTTAGCTAGATGAAGTTGATTTTTTTTCTTTTTAAATTTTCCAAGGATGTATAGTTTCTAAATAAGATCATCAAGGACTGAGGGAGGACCATTCTTGATACAGAGAAACTTAACTCTGATTTTTAAATGTTTTTAATTAGAAAAAATACAATCTAGCTATAAAGCTGTTCAACAACAAAAATTTATTCTCCAAAGAAAAAAGAGACCAAGTACTTAAGCAGACATTTTTTTGAAAACGTTTCCTTTTTTTTTTTTTTTAAATCATGAAATACAGTTTTGTCCAGTGGCTCTGTGGTGGCCGGCCAACTCTTTCATTGTTTGCTCTAACATATTTACAAAAAAGTTAGGGCAGAAATACAGTCAAACAGTAGTCTGACGTTTTCATTTCATGGGACTGTCTTGCCCTGAAGCATGTTAACAACCGCATATAAATCATTCCTCCGTTATTCTGGGACCTACTGAGATGCGAACGCACTCTGGTCAGTGTCAGGGCTGAGGGTGGCAGTGGAGACTCACTGGTGAGTCCTGTGTGTCCCCTTTGATGTGGGATTTCCTTTTCTCCTTTTCGTGACATCTTGATCTTTCTAACAAGAGACTGACGCTAGGCTCTGTAAACATGTTCACTGATATTTATTCTGCTTCGACACTGTGCCAAAGTGCTTTACTAACTTACATTTTCTGATGGCAGTCCTTGTGACACCACCAAGAAAGTGGGTGCTATTATTAACTCTCATTTTGCAGACTAGAATTCTGAGGCTTAGAGGAGTTACAAAATTTGTTTTGGGTCTTGTAGAAGATAAGCAGCAATGACAGAACTTGAACCCAGGTCATTTCAGCTGGCCTTCCTTTCACCATAGGATGGCCCCTTGGGGCACTTGGAAGATACTCAAATAGACAAAGAGGCGTGCATACACACGGTTTCCCCCCTACTTTGCTCAAACTCATCTTTTTTTGTTTTGTTTAGTTTTGAGTCAGAGTCTCACTCTGTCGCCCATGCTGGAGTGCAGTGGCATGCTCACGGCCACTGCAGCCTCGACCTGCTAGGCTCAGGCAATCCTTCTGCCTCATCGTTTTGAAAACCTTAAGGAAGCCGGGCTCAGTGGCTCAGCCTGTTATCCCGCGCTTTGGGAGGCTGAGGTGAGTGGATTGCCTGAGCCCGCGGGTTCGAGACGCGCCTGGGGAACTTGGCGAGACCTCATCTCTACAATAAATCAAAAAATCAGCCGGGCGTGGTAGCGCATGCCTGTAATTCCAGCTACTTGGAAGGCTGAGGCGGAAGGATCGCCAGAGCCCAGCAGGTCGAGGCTGCGGTGGCCAGGAGCATCCACTGCACTCCAGTCTGGGCGACAGAGTGAGACTCCAACTCAAAAGAAAAAAAGAAAAGAAAAGAAAACCTTAAGGATAGATTTATGGAGCATGAGACAGGCAATAAGAAGCTGCAACATAGTAATTCCTAATGAGAGTCATAGGAGACATTGATGTGAAATTGGCAAGCCCATTTTTTTTTTTTTTTTTTTTTTTTTTGTTGGGG